TCACTCCTTGATAGATTTGACGTTGAAATGGAAATAACTGCACAAGGTTATCAATCATGAGATCATCACCAAAAACCACACACCAAAAATATTATGATATAATCGCATTAATTGCAGCAATTCCATCCTTAAAGTCCAATTGATCAACAACTTGCTTATGTAGTTATATTATTTCTATGTATTATCTTGATCAGGTTCATGACTTTCATCTCACCAACTTGTTGAATGTTAGTGTAGTCGAATATGTCAGAAAATATAAACACCTGAAGTCTCGGATCCTTCTTCCCCTGAACCTCAAAAACTCCAAGTGCTCCATTTGCCAATGCGAATGAAAAACATTCTGAAAATTCATTTTGTGGTCCATCAGTGCCAGATTCTGCAATAAAATTAATCTTCAGATATAAGGACTCGCAATCACTAAGAGATAAGACAAACAAAAGTTATTGCTGCTACAGTCTGTAAGAAAATTTCAACTCACTAGAGTCCAAAGGAGATGCCTTTGGCGAAGATGTCTCCACAGATGCTGTTGTACGATCTTTAGATGACGGACGGGGGACTGTTTGAAAACTCCACTCCACTACCGTGAATGGCAGAGCTATTGATCTAAGCTGCGTGTTAAAATTCAACATAAAACGAGCAACTCTCATGGTTTGCAGCCAAATAATGAGACAAAATTGAGAGAACTTATGGTGAAACGAGAAGACTTACTAATATTTTTTTTTATTACAACGAATGAATTACAAAATTACAAAATAAAAAAGGTACTGCACCAACAACAAAACAATGAATTTTTGTAATGTTTTGGTTTAGATATAAAAATTAGAGAATGATCTAAAAGACAAGATAAATAAGGTATGAGCAAAAGTAGCAATCGGAGACTAGCATCAAAATGGTAATATCATTGTAAGCAAACATGATGTCAAATGTGAATGGTGCTGCATTAGATTTAGAATCTAAGGGCTATTTAAAAGTGAGAAATAAAAAAAGGCAGTGGCATTTTAGTAAATAGGTCAAACTTGGTTGCTGCCTTGAAATATGCACTACCGCGAAAGTAAATGTGCATCAAATTGAGCAAAATCATCATTTTCACCTCTCACAATAAGAGTCATTCAAGTGCATAAGTGCATCCCTAATGGTACGGTTACCCAGGTTAAAATTCCAGGTTACACTCCTCAGTCCTTTACTACTTACCACCTCGAAGATAATTATCAATTTCAGAACATAAAAGTTTGAACACATTTATGCTTATCATTTTCTTCCTAAGAAAAATCTTAATTTAAAAAACAAACAACCCTGTCACAAACGAACTGGGGCAGTAAAAAAATTCTGTTTCACATCATTATTTCAAATCATTTAAAAACCAATTTGATATGTTTATCTAGAATGATCGAATTCAGAATGATTACTATAACCTAATAGATAAAATGCCACTGGAACAAAAACGGTTTAAGAAAATTGTGATGAAAACTAAAAAGTAGAGGGATGAACTGGTATACCATAACAAGAGTCTTTGCCATTGCCCAAACTTCTACAGGTGCATCACGAAACAATATTAGAAGGTACATAAATTGTTTTTGGAAACTATGAGAACATGTGTGCAGTGCTTGAGAACTATAATTAGCAAGAACAAGGCAAATATTGTTCAATATACAGAAACTAACATGTTAACTTCTTAAAAATTAAGATGCTAAAAGGAAGTAATAGATGAAACCTGAACAATCAAGCCCAATGGAAACATTCAATTTAAATATAGCGCAGTGATTATAGATAAGGATAAACCCTCAGTAGATTAGCATTCACATTGGAGTAACCATCCTTCCCGTCTGTCAAGGATCAAGTATCTAGTTCCGCGATGGATACAGACAACCTAGTATACTCCCAAATCTGTTGGGTTTAGGGGTCAAGATTAATGGAGTAAAATACCCCAAACCATTACAGACACCAAACATCAAAATAAAATGACGCACCACAATGTGATTCCTTATAGGCACGCCAAAACTACTTCTAGATTATCCAGTAGATGTCAAAGAAAGCATGTAGTCTCCCCATAAAATAGATTATGTGCACCACAAATAATGCATACACACACACCTGCACATATAAAGAAAGGAAGAAGAGCAAATGAAAAAAGTTTGATTATCAGATGTATGCTGATACAAATTTGCAATACGAGTAAACAACATCAGCCTAGTAACAGTTAAATGATTGCCCAACTTTAATGACTGTCATACAAAGACACTTCGTTTCCAGAGATAATCGAGGGCAGGTATCATTAAAGTCAGCCTATGGAAATGACATATCCCACAAGTTATAATTAAACAAACAAGGTACATTAGCCATTTTTACTTTTTAATAATATACCAAAATCAAAACAAGTAATGGATACAAGGTTTAAATAAGGTTTAAATAATTAAATTAGTAAGAATGAATAAATTCTATGGCACAACATCATACAATTTTAAGAGGATTAAAGGACTAGATCGAATGAGTTTAGTAGCTTGTTTGTCGGCATAGTTAAAAAAAATGAGCTACAAACGCATTGCCGCATGCACACAGTCATTCAGCATACATGCAGTAAGCAACCAACAGTAATATGTATATTGCACGGATATTTAGGCATTTAGGTTATCTACGAACCTTCCAGAAGAGGAGGCTCTTAGAGCTCTTATCGGTGTTCGTTCTGGCTTCTGTAGAACTCGAAATGATCGATTAAGTCCACTTCTTAGACAAGTCACAACAAGCCGATTAACGTAGCCATTAGATTTTTCTGTTTGCTGGAGGAAAAAGGCAAAGCCATTGTTTCAATGAAGTAACTTCTATCAAATGAACAAGAAAAGTTCCTCACTAGATATTACATTCAGGATATGATTTAGAGGCAGTGTAGTTAGCTCTTAGGTGTGTGTGTGTGTGTAGATGTTTGTGCCAGTTGTTCGTGACAGCTATTTAGAAAAAATGGTTTGTAAACAAAATACTACAAATTTGAAAATTTGTTGTTATTCAGTAATTTTTTTAATATGAATATGAATATGTGTGTGTGTGTGTGTGTGTATATATATAATATCGGCCCGGTTCCAGTGCCACTGGAGTCCGGTGCCACTGGTATTTTGGGGCACCTCCGGTGCTCCGTTCGCAAAATTGACGGTTCCTACCCCCCCTAACCCACCCCCTAAACCCCCCACCCTACCCCCGCCCCTGCACCCCC